GAGCAGTGCATTCATCTCTGCACCCGGCCCATCGCTCGATCCGTCTCCCGCAGGGCGCGCGAGCAGCCCGACGCGCTGCGCAAGACAGGCCGCCTGCTCGCGCCAACGGCGGCGGTCCGCACTGGACGGGTCGAGCGCTGGCGCGTTTGGCGAACGGTTCTCCATGGCGAGCGGCAGCGGGCCAGGGGGGGTCCCACATGAACGGTTTGCGAGGACTAGGGATTTGTACCAGAGGGGGGAGGGAAGGGGGCCCAGATCTGCTCGTCTCAGAGGGTACCCTCTGTGCCAAGAGAGGCCATCCACGAGCGGCTCAGAGGGTGCCTGGGCCGACCCTCTGAAGGCCTGTGCCGCCAAGCCAGCCTCTCTCGGCGCAGCCTCTGAGGCTACGGGGACACGGGGACCCTCTGAGACGCCAAGGCAAGCCCCGCGAGGCCGCTCCTCAGAGGGGTTTTCAGGCATTTCAAGTCTCTCTCGTCCCCACAACCACAGAAAAAGAATTTCTGTGAGAGTTGACGGAACTGTCTCTCCAGCTACTCTGCGCGAGGCGCCCCAGCTGTGGCGAGGCACCCAAGATGCGCATCAGAGTCCGGGTCAACGACATTGTCGGGCGGCCGCTCCAAGCACATCCTCAAGTTGACGGGGCCGGGCCGTGTGCGAAGCTGGTTCACGCGCAGGGCACGGCGCAGGCGCTGTGGGCGAGCCTGCAGCAGTAAGCGCGTGTGGTGCCGGGCGCGCTTGCGAGCGTATAGAGTAGCGCCTTAGTCATGGATGGTCGCTGTGAAAAGTCGGAATGTTTTACTACCCCGCCCCTCCCCGCCCTCACTGGTCAGCGCCGTTCGTGGAGGGCTAGGCAGCTCCGCCTCCGCCCGGGGCTCGCCTACAGTGGGGACGTCGAACGAGAGCTCCCTATGGGAGGGACCGGACCCGGCCTTCCTCCTCGCCAAAGACTGCGACCACATGTTTATCCGCCTTGGGCAGCCCTCCGACAGCACTCCTCAATACACTCCCTCCGGCAGTGGCGCTGATTTCCAGCAACCATTGCTGGTCAACCACATTGCCCAATCAAACACGCCGACGCCCTCTACTGCACCGAGCCGCGAAGGGTCCTCCGGCTTGCTCTCCTTCCAAGCGGCCATCCTCGCAGACAACCGCACGCGTGTCACGGCCCACTTCCACGGTCGCCGCGTCGTCTGGGACTCGTCACTGGCCCCGTGGATGCACGCGCGCGCACTCGGGTACCTCGGCACGCTGCAGCACATGTCTCGGCTCATCGAGCGGCTCAGCAAGGGCGAGCCCATCAAGGTGGTTGCACTCGGGGGATCGGTCACGCATGGACACGGGCTCCGGAGAATGCCCCGTGATTTCAAAGGCTCGTGGTCCCGAGTCGTCTTCGACTGGATCGCCCAGACGTGGCCGAATGCCAAGCACACATACATCAACGGGGCAGTGCCTGCGACCGGGATCGAGTTCTTCTCCCACTGCCTGTCCCACCAGAGCCCTGCGGATGTGGACCTGATCATGCTGGAGTTCAGCGTGAACAGCCAACCCAACGAGAGGTCCAACATAGTGCACCTGGAGCTGCTCACACGACGGATACACGCCATGCGCCCTCACAACCCCGCCGCCATCGTGACAGTGCATTACTTTGGCTGCTGGACTGGGACGGAGCGATGCAAGGAGCTCTCCTGGCTCGCATCGCCACAGCGGAATTTCGATCTCGTGGCGCAGTATTACGACTTCCCCTCTGTGTCAATGAGGAACGCCTTGGATGTGGAGCAGCAGAGCAGGGATCATGATCGCACCACTCACTTTGGACTCAGCAACTTCAGCAAAGACCACAATCACCCCAACAATTTGGGTCACCAGATGATGGGCGATGTGGTGATCTATCTGCTGTTGCTCGCAGCGGCTCGCTTGGACGAACATGACTCTGCTCTACCGCCCTGGCCGCCAAGCCTCCCGATAGCCATGGTGCAGGAGAATCAGGGAGAGCTTGAGTTCATGTGCAGCTTTGGGCAACAGCTTGCTCCATACATCACAGCAAATTCGGGCTTTGAGTTTGTCGAGTTCGATCCCGCACAAACCAACCGGCAGAGCAAGAAGCCCGGCTACTTGAGCCTGACATCCGGCAGTAGCATCGATATCAGCATGCGAGCAGACCTTGTCCACAAATCGTTGACGCTAAATTACCTCAAGTCGTACGATGTGCGGATGGGACGTGGGGTCCTCACCTGTCATGGCGGCTGCAGTTGCCGACCGCACAAACTGGGTGCAATGTTTGATGGGAAGGACCCACTCCGGATGTCCATCATGTGGGCGCATACAATCATCTTGGACTCGACGAAACCTACTTCACCGCAACAGACACAAGCTTCGCGAAAGGGCAACTGCACCATCCGCATCGTCACATCGCCAACGGAAACGGATCAAGCAGGGGCGCAGCAACAAACCAAGTTCAAGTTACTAGGGATGATTGTCAATCGGCCAGCGTCTAGAGCATTATTTGAGAATGGGATCCGCGGCTTATGGACAAGTGATGGCTTTTTGTGATATGAGCCCGCAGCCCTGCTCTCTCCTACCACGAAGTCGCCCATGCGCCTCAGGCCTCACAGGCGCCCGCCCGCCCGGCCGGAGCAGCCCCCACTCGTCGCCGCAAGGCCGCTCGAATTGGCCGCCTTCCGTCCCCCTGCCGAGGGA